AGATGTGAGGCTATTTTCGGTAAAATGACCGAACGATTGAAAATTTGTCATTATAAAACCAATTTTAAAATTGTTCTCCAGTGTCAAATAAATGATTAATTAGGTCTACACACGCTATTTATGTTATTTTGGATACGTATGTTAAGGTGACACTCTGGTTTAAATCTATCAACGAAATAGGTTATTACTTACAAAAAATATATATAATAGCATAAAACATTTAAGATATGGTTGTCAAAGAGGTTTACGTTTAAACTCGGAGTTATGTGTTATAGCGCCGAAAGAAAATCTATACCTGTAGTTATCAACTTTAGTATTGATGTCGAAGCATATCGGAGTCCACTTTTCATGGCAAGTTTTAAATTTTGATCATCGCTTCTTGCAAAAGCCCTACCGAAAAAAAAGTGACACATCTCCCTCCCCTTTTTCGCCATTCACCCTCCCTGTACCCCTAAGGAATGTGCCGGCCCAAGCGAAGATCAGAAAGATCGCAACAAAAATTCGAGTCAGGGCAGGAGTTGAGTACTTTTACGGAAAGCGCGTGATGCATCTGGGTAAACTGAGAAGCACCGATTACTCACGCAACAGACCTGTGTGGACTGCGGTATAAGCATCGCTTAGTGCGGCCTGCTAGCAGCCTAGTAAGAGAGCACGTCAAGCAAAGATCATCTCAATTCAGGTTGGTAAATTTATGTGCACATCGAAATTATTAACGCTTTTTTTTTCGTTTTATGTCAAGTTGGGTTAGTTTCGTGATAACAGGAAACTGGGTGAGCTATAAGCGCAAAAGTCTACCTCTCTTCAAGACAATATGCCTTTTACTTCCATGTTGTTGCTTTGTTATGGAAATATATTAAAGTTTCCGATAAGATTGATCGACCGAGATATAAGGTACAAGTTCTAGAAAAAGGAAAAGCGAGTTGTCACAGAATCAAGAGTAGCAGGCGGGTGGAATGTTTCAGACAATAAAGGACCGATTGATTAGGTGGGTTTTTCGAACATCGTTGATGTTACTTGTGGCGGCCCGATGAGATCTAAATAAAAGATTTCGTTCGCTCTGCAAAAATTAGCTAGTTAAGGATTCTTTTACACTGCGTGAGATCTCCTCTATCAAATGACAAGCGATTCTAAAAATGGTGCTCATTCCCTAGTTGACGAAATATTCGAATCTTATTGGGCTTAACGAAAAATCACTTTGTTATCTCCTCTCACAAAATCTGTCTCAGACCGGTGGGAATGATGCCGAATTCCTACAGAAATCCTCTTGCAAGCCTGTCTAACGAGAATACTTGAAGATTTATTAGAAATACTAAGGACAAAGCAAGGTCCTCGACAGCATACATTTGTGATCAGGCGGTTCAATTTCCTGATGTTGGACGTTTGGACCCTGCTCGACCTAAAGAATTTACACGATCAACCTACGTAGCGGTTTCGTGCTAGATACAGTGTTTGCTGTTTTTGCTGTAATTTCACACCAATACACGACTTTCATAATGGCGGACATCGCGTGAGTCCAGGATCGAGTTGCATGAAAACGGGGTCAGAAAGGCCACTCTATCGCGTCGCGTCCCTATTCGTTGGAAAAGGTCATAGACAGGCCTAAACAGATTCCCCTATGTGGTTTTACGTTTGCGACGCAAAAGCCTTTAATTAAAGCTTCGCTCTGACGAGTATGTCTTTGAGCGATTTACCTCTTTTGTATGATATAATCGGAGGCGTTTTGTAAATTGTTTTCAGCAGTGGCTGATTTTGGATGAGGTTCCATTCTTGCATCAGTATTTGTTTTAAAGTTTTAACCCCTGGGTGGTATGCTGTCACAAAAGGCAATATTTTGCCTTTAGTTTTTTTGTTTGTTTTTTAAGTGTCGACTGCCTTGCGGCAAACGAGACCTCAGATAAAGTTTTTTCAATTAGGCTTTTTGGGTAACCACGTGCTTCAAGTCGTGTTTTGAAGTTACACATGGCCTCCTGGAAATTTCTTTCCGAGGAGTTTGTTCTTAGAAGTCTGATAGCTTCTCCTTTAATAAAGCCTTTCTTAACACCTGGCGGGTGGCAAGATGAATAGTGTGTATATTGAAAGGTCTCGGTCGGTTTGTGGTGAGTTTTGACGTCGAGGATAGCTTCGTTTTGGAATCTTTCACCTTTGTAGACAACCGTGTCTAAGAATGTGATTTCAGTCTCTGAGATTTCAGCCGTGAACTTTATAGTTGGATGGAATGTGTTAACTTGTTCTATGAATAGATCAATGTCTTGTTTACGAACATCTCACAGGGAGAAAACGTCGTCATGTAACGCTTCCATACTCTCGGCTTGATACTGCTTTGGTGAAGCAGTTTTGTTTCAATTTCTGCCATAAAGAGATTGGCGAAAGCAACCGCCATTCGTGTTCCCATGGCAGTTCCAAAACATTGGAGATAGTTTACTCCGTTGAACTGGAACGAATTTTCTTTCAGTATAAGCCCGAGCATTTGTTTTAAGTAGTGGGACGGAATGGGAGGGCTGTTATTGTGGTATTTTTCGTATGCTTGGCATACTATTGTGATACCCTCTTCTTGTGGGATGTTTGTGTACAAGCTTGTTACATCCGTTGATACTAAAATAGTATCATTTGACACTTGCGTTTTTTCTATAAAGTTGATGAAATCAGTCGTATCTTTGAGATACGATTTTTGCTTTTGAGCAATAGGCTGTAATAAATGATCCAAAAAGGATGATATCCTTTCAGTTGGTCCTTCGCAGCCCAATATAATCGGTCTACCCACTGGCAAAGGTTTGTGGATTTTTGTTAAAGTGTAGAAAATCGGTATTCTGGGCGGATTGCCGGGGAGTCTGTGAAAGCCACTTTTTTGTCATATCGTCTATATGTTTGCCATTGTGCAGTTGAGCAATAAGCTCATTAACTTTTTTTAATGTGTCAGTGACCATGGGGTTTTCAAGAGGTCGGTAGTGGTCTCTGTTGTCGAGCTGAACCTGGGCCTTTTGAATTTTGTCCCTCTTGTTGAGAATCACTGTTGTGACTAACAAGTCTACGTTGATGGAAGCGCACTAGGGCGCTAACGTATTGTTCTTCGGCGTGACTTTTAATAGCGCTTATTTCCTGTAGAAAGGTTTCGTCAGGCGTGACGTTTGCCTTCGCCTTGTATTGAAGCGACTTAGGGCAAGTCTTTTGTTGTAAGTATCTCTCCAGTTTTAAAATGGAGGTTTCAGTTTTTTGCTTCTTGAACTGGATAGCGCTGATGGTGTCTTCATGTTTCCTCTTCCTTGGCTGCCGCGTGGATCGGCTATTCCTCGGAAGGTTTTCTTTTTGACGGCTTTCTTTTTGAAGGCGTAGACCTTCGTTGCTGCGTTGTTTGGCTAATTCAGCTTTATACCTTGGCTCGAGTTGTGATAATGGAGGGCTATCCTCTGGGTCCGATTCTAGGTTCGGATCAGTGTACGTTAATGCCATCTCCTCGATAACGATAACATAGCATGTTTAATCATCCTCCAACTTATACGACAGGATTTGTCCAGAACTAAAGTATATTCCCCAGGGTGATTTAAGACCATATAAATCGGGTTCAATAACTTGACCGGCTTAGAAGGCATTTCCGGTGCGTGAGTATCGATGACTGAACCAACCAACTTGTGTATGAAACATTATCCCAAACCCTGACACAATAGACAAGATAATTTTATCGCATTCCTACGAGGTAAAATTTTGAAATAGGGTTAAAGGTTACTTCCCACCTTCGTGGGTGTCCTTCGGGAAAAAATTCGTACGCGCGTTAATTGCAATAAAATCCAAGCAAACTATATATCAGAAGAAAGCTTAATAACTGCAGGTAACGATGAAAATATAAGTTAAGCGACTTTTCTTTTCAGGAAGTTTCAGGAGCCAGTAAGGCGTGAAACGACCGAAATTCTTCTATTGAATATATCTGGTATCGGATGCCGCAGCACGAGCAAAATGTCTGCACAGAACAAATTGTGTCGGGCTTTTTCGATATTCTGATTTGTTGTTTAGATATCGGCATCTAATGGATCTATCTTTTTGTCGAGGGTAGAGGGTCGTGGGTTTCATGTCGACGGCGAGGGTACAATGTCGAGGGTACCTTTTTTCCTATTTTTTTTCTCTTTTTTTTTTTTAATTAATGAAGAAAAATTAAACCGTAACTAAAATAATTAAAAATAATTAAAGAAAAAAAAAACATTTTAAAGATACGGATTGCACATGGACATCAGATTTTTTTAGATGGACATCGTGGGCATCGCCCCAAAAAATAGCGAGTTGGGGAGGGATGAGATTGTGATTTTTAAAAAACCTGATTAGTTTAAAAAGAATTAAATTAAGAACCCACAGAAAGCTCATATTCGATCATAAATCTGGTTAGATTTTCCGTGTTGCTGTAACATCACGAAGCGAAGAAATATGACCAAAAGAAGGAGGTTTGAGCAGTTCCAAAATAGCCTTAAATTTTTGTTATTGGAATCTGTTGTGATAGCAGGCAAGAAAAATGCGTGATGCTAAACCAGTTTGGTAACCGCCCTATATCCGATTTCGGTTGCGCGGGCTCAATAAACGTTTTTAACGGCTTTCAAAAAAGTGCGCCGAATAATAGGTTTGTCGTTGCCTTGAGAATATTTTTAGATTTTTTAATATATAAGATGGTTGTTTTTTTTATCTTTAAATATTATTTTCCATGATATTTCCCCTGAGCTAGGTTGAACTCGGAAATAGTTAAGGATAGGATAAGGAAGTAACAGGTTGTAGTCGATCGACTGTAATCATTAGAATGAAGTAACTGTGTGAAATGGGACCTATGACAGATTTTAATTTAATTAAGTTTATACTGTATTGTAGGAAAAGAATTTTAGTGAATTAAAATTTATGATTTCATTATGTAAGTAACTAAGTATTTCAAAATGTTTCATTAAAGAGTATTATTATTCTCAAGTTTTAAAAAAAACTATTATTATTATTATTATTATTATTCATTCATTTATATGTCTTTTTTAAGAATGGCTACAAAAGATCATGTCGCTGGCTATACAAAGTATTTTGGGAAGAGATTTGCAAACTTATCCCCAGAAGCAACAACAGAGGAGCAGATAAAAGATGTGTACAAAGAATGGGCGAGCAAGTTTGATGAGGTAATTCCTGAGTAGCTGAGTAGCGATATTGTGAGCCATTTTTTTCAAAGCACAGAACCAATTTAACCCTTTTACCCCAAACAGTAACCGGTTTCTAATTTCTCCTTACAGTATCCCCCTTGAATCAAATCTAAATATCATGAGAATAATGGAGATGATCACCAATAAGAAGCCTGACGGCCAAAAAAAAATTCTCCTTGGTAGGAAATGTAGAGAGATCGGCGCGGAGAAAATGAATACTAATGCTAGGGAGTCTCCTTCGAGGAGACTCAGAAAAATTACTTCAATGAGATATGAAAACAAAACATGGAAAGAAATATAACACAAGAATGATGAAGGGTGGTTAAGGTTGGTAAAGTTTAAAGCGAATTACATATGACGAGCTTAAGAATAATTTTGTACAAAAGTTAATGTACAGCTATTGCTCATTGATTCCAGTGCAAGAGGTACGGTTAATACATGAAGATACCACGGGCCTGCGCATGACTAATTTATCCATGGAACTGCTGATCGCAGAATCGGTGAACCTTTCGAAACTGAAGATCTTCGAACTTGTGAAACCGAGGGAAATAACTGTTTTTTTTACTAAGTAGGGCAACAACAAAATTCTCTATCTTCCACAAGTTTCGCCGTTCAGCGGTTCGCAATTCTGTTCATAAGTCAAACCGCGGGGTCTTTAGTGACATATTTCTCCAGAGAAGAATGTTCCCTGAACTTATGCGATGGTTCAAACACATACTACGCGCTGATATTTTGCGAGTTAGCGAGCAATGAGCAAAATTCTCTCGCGTATTATCCATTGCAAGCTAATTAATTTCTTTACAGGAAAACTCTAACGCACGGATTGTCTGCCACAAGCCCCAAGCTGAATGCTTAGACTCTGCCATTAAGAAATACCTGGACAAACCGAAAGAGGAAATTAAAATCATTGATTGTGGAGCTGGCACGGGCTGGGCTGGTGTCGAGCTCAACAAACTTGGGTACACCAACCTGTGTGCTCTGGACATTTCACAAGAAATGTTGGATGAGGCGAAGAAGAAAAAAATCTACCAAAAATTTATCTGCGCCCCTCTAAATGACCAGCAAAGTCCTGAGGTTAAAACCGGAGAGTACGACGCCATGATTTGCATTGGTACGCTGGCTTCTGCGCATGTCAAACCTGCAGCTTTGGTTGAAATGATTCGGATGATCAGGACTGGTAAGCTTAAAAGTAGTTAGATAGTCCTATTTCATAACATAGTGTGGTCGCTCTGAGAATGACACTGGTGAGGTAAGAGACGTTTTCCCAAGTTGAACAGACGAATATATTGAAGTTTATTCATCTATTAAAGTTTCGAATGTGAAACTAGCGGCTTGGAGAGATTTAAAATGGTGACGTTCATGGTTGAATTTTGAGCTCTTTTGAAGATGGTGTATGAAAGGATAGGTAACTTTTAAAATCTCAAATTGCGATCAGTGAAATATCTTCATATACAAATTTTGATGGCCGAGAAGCAAATCGTATAAGTTATCTATAGCAAAGTTTGCCTTTAGCCCTCCTCCCCCATCCCCCCAACCCACCCCCACTCAACGAGAAAAAGCAACAGATGTTCTGGAAGTGGAAAGAAGTACTTCAGCAATGTTTCCCTAAATTAAGGGGCGCTGAGTCAAAATTTCTTTCTTCTTTTGGTTTCCATCGCAGGTGGTCTGGTGAGTTTTAACATTCGGTATGGTGAGCTAGAAATCTACCAACCAAAAATGGAAGAGCTGGAGAAAGCACGCAGCTGGGAAAAAGTATCCAAAGATACAGTGCCTCAGTTTGATGTAGATGACATGCCTCCGACTTCTACTTTCTTTGTTTACAAAGTCTTGAAATGTTAGTGCTACCACTAACAAGACCACAACGAGGATGAAGTAGATGAATCAAATCTTTTGAGAATAAAACACAGGTTTTTTTTCTGGAAACAGATTGTCTTTTCCTCTTTGACCTTTAGCTACAGAGAATCTATTTCCATGGTAGATTAAATTACTCTGTGCTGAAAGAAGTGAATTCATCAGACAAATAAGGGTCTATTTGTATAGATAATCACATGATTTCGAGTGCAATTTGGAATAAATAAGAACGAGAAAAATTTTTTAAAGACTAACAAAATTGCACGAGCCCGTAGGGCGAGTTCAATTTGTGGTCTTTGAAAAAATTAACAAGTGCTTGTTTATTCCAAATTTCACGAGAAAAATCATGTGATTACGTGTTACTAACATACATGGAAAAATACGAGATGGCTTATCATAATGAAGCATGAGCAAAGCGCGCGCATCAAGTGCAAAAATGAAGAAATGTAAAATGATTTCCGTGTTTACATAGCCTGATGTAAACACGTGAGAGGTTGGGAGAACACGAGATAAGCTTAGGAAACCATCGATAAAGAGCTTTCTAACGTACAGCTTAGGTGCAGGAATTTCTTTTCGTTCCCTAGTTTTTTAAGCAATGCCAAACAATTGTCACTGTGTAGTGTTTTTAGCACTTTCAGAGCAAATCTAGAAACATGAATCATTCTACAGAATCTGTGACCTGAAGTGAAGAAAATTGTGATCAGCTCACGGCTGATTTGATACAGCTGTTGTGTACCGGTTCCCAGGGAATATTCTTGTTTCTAGTTCAACTCTATCTTCCCTTGAACTTGCAATGTCCATATTCTTTGACGGTTGGGGAGATCCTCAAGAAGTGCCCAGTTTTGGCAAAGGTGTGTGCCCTTATTAAGGTCTTGTTGATGAAATGAAAGGAATCGCCGGAAACTGCCCTGATTCATATACGGGTGTCCTTTCAAGAATCTGATAACCATGGGTGAGTACGTAGGCAAACTGGCCGAAATGCGAGATAAGACTGCCACTCCAAAGGGTCGGGCTGCATTCGAGAAGTTGATGAAGAGGGTCATAAGATCTCCAAGGGGGCTGAGAAGAAAGGCTGGACCTTGGCCATTCCCTCCAGATACCTGCCCAGTCTTTGCCCGTAATGCACATGGAAAGCGCATCATGCCAAAATACAATTAGGCTTCCTCAGAGTGGAAGAGGAAGGATCTGACTGAGCCAGGAACAGTTTAAGTACTTCTTTGCAGAAGTGCCTTTTAATTCCATTTTGGTGACTTGTTTAAGGGTACGTTTTTAAGTCAGTCAGAGACATCATTCCATCTCTGTTCGCTCCGTCAATTCAGCAATATTCAGTGGAGACATCATTCCATCTATGTTCGCTCCGTGGCCTGGGGCCAACATCCTGGAACTTCTGAAATCCGAAAGGCGCGAAACCAAATTGTGTTTCCTTTGCTTTTGGAGTGCTTTGTACGTGTGGCATTAATTATTCTGCGATTTTTACAGCACTTCAAAGGTAAGTTTGAGAGTGTTTATTACTGTATCTTGTTTGCATTTTCGAGATTTAGCATATTTGTGCCTTAGAGTTTATAAATTGTTTTTCATCTATATGCGAGAGGGCTTGAGGACATGGCACAGAGTAAATTCGGCCGCGGATCGAGTTAAGCCATCTTGAAGAACCGCAGTAGGATCTAGTCTGAGTAAAGACAGCCCTGTTCTTTCTCTTTGCAGAGTGAGACCTTGACTTTTTGGATGACCTTTAAGCATTTTTCTACCCACACCAGGGTATTGTCCTTGAATTTTACGGACAACCTCTCCAGGGGAATCATCACTGATATCTCTGTATTTACCTTCGAATATGCCACGTGTGCCCAAATGGGTCTATTCTAATTCGTTCTTTGCCATTCATTACATGCAAATGCGTGTACTCTTTCACACAATCGCGATCACTGGAGGAATTTGCATTTCACTCGAATTAATGGTTTTAATATGCGTTCCTGCGATAAAAATAATTCAAAGTTGATCATTCAAATAATTGTGGCTAGAAAAAGCGCTCTTCATTTTGATTAGTACAGATGGATTTCGTTCATGCAACATGTCTGAAAACTTAACTAGTAGCTTAGAAGTCCATCATGAAGCACTATTTTTAATAAGGGACTGCACGCGAAGAGCCGGAGGGTCATTTGACAAAGACCATTCTTCCAAAATCCACCTTTCTTGAGTAATGCGATAACTAACCATTAACTGTGAGAAAAAGCCAGAAGTATACGAATAAGGATCTAGGATAGACCAAACCTATGGTCTAAGTCACTAAAATTCTCAAAATAAATCACATCAATAACATCACGTTTACGGGAAGAAATCCCTATGTACTGCTTAAATATATATGCTCTCTGTTTTCGTAAGCATCGATGCATTTAGTATTACAAGATTGAGTATGCCAGTTGAGGTTGACGCTGCGGGTATGTATAGGGTGTTTTTCCCTCCTAGGCCGAAACCGCTGAGCAGGCATTATTTACAGTTCCCCGTGTATATGACTGCAAATATAAATTCGGTGTATTGGGGGAAAAATCTCGATTTGACCAAAGTAGGCGCGCAAGCTGGTACCGGTTAATTTTCTCAGTAGGCGCGCCAGATGTTGCTGGGTAATCTCGGCAACTCGAGGTCATTCTCACTTGTTCACAACCTGGAACAATAGAGACCTTAAGCAATAACGACGGGAACATGGACTACGACGTATATGACCGATTGAGGCCTGGGACGGGACCGTCGTCTACGGCGGGAAACACAAACACTTGAGCACACCAGTTACGTGGACGAGGATCGTGGAAGAGTCTACAGCTTTCGAACAGTCACAGGAAAAATATCTTTTAGAGAATTTCGTGAGCTGCTCATACTTCTTTATGGCGATAACATTGTTCAGATGAAGAATTTTTACTGCTTTACGATACCTTCAAAACAAAAAGGCCCGAATTTCCTAATGGAAACTACAAGCAATTCGATCTGGATTCTACGAACTCCACCGAATGCAAAGCAAATGGACTCATTGGAAATTTATATGGACCAGCTGGTGAGTTCTTTTGTGACATCAAATTATAGTTTTTAGTAACATAAACTTCCTAAGCAACTTCTATTCTCAACTTTGATTTTTTTCTTCGTTTTAGAGGGGTGTAAACACGACGCAGGGATGTTAGCACCCACGGGAATTGGCGGGATGACCGCTGAATACAAGTGGATCGTTAAGGTTGTACAGAAGAGGGGTAATGTATAACAGGAAAAAAAACGTCATTTTATGCCATAATTGACCACTTATGTAATAAAAAATACTACTACATGGATTGAGTTTTAGTTCGAAGATTATTCTTAGTTTTGTTTGTGTGGTTCTACTCCAAATGACCGTTCAACACAAGTGAAAGATGATACAAACAGGCCGTTAGAGCTCAAAGGTAACCACGCCTGCTTACTAGATGAAACTGCTCAATAGAGGTGAAATTTACAGCGACTAAGGGGAAACAAATTCGGGACTTTGACAACTGACCGCTAAATACGGCGCCGCTTAATACAAGTTCGACTGTATGATAAACGACGAATCACATAGGAGAATTAGATACAAACAGTTTTTACTATTATAGTGGTCAGGAGTTTGTAGTGTGTTTTGAGTGTATTAAATTTTCTTTTGCTTGAAAGGATTTAACATATTACATTAACAAATAAGGGTTGATAAGGACAAATCAGAAAAAAAAACTTATTTCTTCAAGGTCAGAGATCATTGTGTCAATGAATTGCATATCATTTCATGGAAATTCAAGATTCTACTTGGAAGTAAATTAAAAGTCGGAACATTTTATTCTTTGTTAAGCCATCAGGTTTCTGAAAATGTTTCATTACATCAATACTGTTTCAAAGATTTGATACTCAGATACCTTAGTTTCTATTACTTGCCAGCGGTAAAAAAAAAAAAAGATGGCAAAACCAAATGTTGCTCAAAGTTTAACATTATCTTACTTTTACTGTATGCAGGTCCAGGGAAGAGGCTCAAAAAAACAAAGAAAAGTAAAAAAGGTAAGTAAAGTGGAATAAACAAAGCTTAAGTAAAGTTCAAGTGAGTGTGATCATTATTAACACTATGCATGCACGTCATCCTGGCTAATTAGAAACTCGTTTATCTGGCCCAAGAGTTACAAAGAATGAACCCACATGTTATTGATTGCTCTGTTAGCTGAGTCAAATCTTTATCGAACTTGCCTGTGATCTGCATTAAAAAATTTAAATGATATAAATTCCTGGTCTCAAACGAGGGAAATTGTCAGTCAACAAGCGACAATAGTTGCAGATAGTTGCTGCACACTGTGAGCAAGTGAAGGCACTTGTAGTTGCCGGAATCCTAGTGTAGCTGTTATTGACACTTAATCCAGCATGAAAAGCAACAGTATCCATGGAGGCTGTCACAACATGCTCACCAGAAAGGAAAGGCAAAGACCAAGGGCTGTTTTGCCTTTTATCAGCATGACATAAGGCTCAAGTTCCACATCGGCCATCTATCTACATATTACAGTTTGTTTTATCTCATTGCTACTTTTCCACCATCTCATTCCTAGCTTTACACTCTCTTTCTACTTGCTGATAATCCTACCTGATTCGCGGCTAGTTTTCAGCTATCTGATTTTTAGATTAATGTTACTTTGATTCTAGTTAATTGTGATCTACCCGAGAATAGTTTCTTATTATTTTGATCTATGTTATCTAACTTCGAGTTCATCTCTGTCTTGTATCTAACTACTGGTATTGCAACTACCTAATCTCTATTTTATATATCTAGCTGAAAACTCACTTATTAGAACATCAAACACTAGTTTAACCCTATCTAATACCTACCTAAATACTTACTGCAATAGTTATTTTACAAACTTATTTTTCAGATAGAATTTAGATAGAGCTATCTGAATGGTTCCAAATAACCCGTTAATGGATAGGAACTAGGATTAAATGATTACACAAGCGACCTGGTTAGGAAATAGCTGGTCAATAGGTAGATTTTAGATCCATAGTTCAGTAAACTAGTTTTAAGATAGCTAAAATCTAGTATCCAGTTTTGTAAG